ATGACCTCCATTCCGTACCATTTAGATCCCGCAAAATCTGGTAAATTTTCCAACATATATCAACGTGATGATGCCTGTAGACTGGCTTCTCTCATGTTAAATTACCAATATGAGAATAAGATATTTATTTATTATTATTTATCACTGTCCTTTACAACTTTCTCAGTAATTTTCGATGAGACTGGGGTTATATTGATGGGTCTGTAGTTGCCGACATCAGCCTTGTCCCAGGATTTGTAGTGTCGAATTACAAGGCTAGTTTTCCATTCAGTTGGATAGTGCAAGTTTCCATCGAAAGAGTGAACAACTCAAGCGGAGTCTGTGAAAGGTCCTGCCCGCCGCTCCTCAGGGCTACTGAGCTGAGGTCGTCCGTTCCCATTCCTTTCGTAGGTTGCAGGCTTCTGATGGCCTCTGCCATATTCTGCAAGTCACTGAATAGTTTACAAATCATGGCTGGGTTACTGTAGACTACCTCGTTATGAAGCGAGTATATCTCTTGTTGCTTGAAGGCGTTTCTTTAGGAGTGATGTTAGACTGTACACCTTGGAGCTAGTTCTAAGGGCTTGTAACTCATCACTTCGGGCTTTTTGTGCACGCAAGCCTCTAACTTATTCCGGGGTATCATGTATCACATGCAACGAGGAGGAATCCTCAACGGAGTGGTACAGGTTTGACGGTCACCTAAGCTTTCTGCGGTACATAGGTGGAACGTATTCTGGGTGACGATATGGTTTTACTGTTTTCACAGGGGCAGCAGTATCCAGACACGACGTAACATTCCTGTAAAAAAGGGATACCGTGGTTGTTAGCGAGTCAGTGGTAAAATAGTTGTCCCTAGGGGAGAACCTTAGAAGCCCCGCTAGCAGTTTTCAGTCCGTACCTTTATAGCTGTGATATTCAATTTAGTGTTGGGATGGGTGGACAGATGGATACCATTCTGTGATCGCTGTCGGAAAATTCGCCGCCAACACAAGCGGTTACTGGGGTTATGTCGTGGCAAAATACCAGGCCCAGCATGTTGTCACTGCTAGTAGGTGCGTGGATATGTTGCTCACAACCATGGAGATCTATCACAGCAAGTATCTCAGCGAAGTGCCGCGGACCACAACCAGCGATCCAGCTAATTTCGGGAGGGTTGAAGTCACCAGTGATCAATTTAAGATTGGCAGTGCATGAGGAAGCGTGAGCAAATGATTTAGCTAAAAGTGTGTCCGTTTCCGCTCTTGAACATGGCGCTTGATATACGGAACCTGTGGCCATTTCATATTTGCCACTGTGCAAGGTGACCCACTGTGAGTCGGGCACTGCATTTAGTGCATTGTCTTCAACCTTGCTCGCCGTGACTTGGTTACGCGTATAAATGAGACAGCTACCCCACGCTTGTGACCTCGATTAGTGCGATAGAGTGTATCCATCTATAGATAAGTCTGCATCCAGGATGTAAGGTGGACACCGTGATTCAATCATAAGTGTTATCGTCAGTGTAGTGATTAGAACCGCTGTTCTAGGGGCTAGTATTTCCTCAGGTGGGGAACGTGCGTCAATGAGCAACAATGTTGACAGGCTTCTGTGAATGATGAACTCACCTACAATGTCACTTGTACCTATCTCATCACACTCATTTCCACGTAGTGTGCCTCTAGGTGATGTGTAGTGTGTTTTAAAAGCGAACTGCGACTCCCTATTGGTTTATATTGATGAGACAGTGAGTAGATTTGCGACGTCTAAGTCTTTTGGGTGGGAGAGCTCGCTAATCAACATGTCTTCACTCTCTACCGATATCGCATGTTGAAGTTTGTTGTCGGTGGGTGCCAGTTTGAACAGTTCCACCCTTGGGCTTGTGAAGTGTGAGCTGGATACCAAGGGTCGTATATAATGTTTAGTGACCCGAAAAACTTACGAGGTTCAGGTAAGTTAACATACTTGGCAGGTGGGCGGTGTACGTAGTCCTAGGGTCATGATTATGTGAGTTGCACCCTGGTTCCTAGTTCCAGTGGGTATGATTGGACCCCACAGGATTAGCTCTAGTGCTGGACAGTGGCATGTTGCGGTTGACGCGTTCACCAAAGCGATAAGTGGTAGCATAATACCCACCATTAAAGTCTGAGTTGTGACCAGGGAAATGAGTCGGAAGTTTTGTATTCCAAGACAGTGGTTTATGTTGCCTGGTAGTGCGCAGTTGTGTTGGAGCCCTTTTGGCAACGAAACATTCTACAACGTTGTCGGATAAAATACGCTTAAAACTGCTCCGCCTGATGTTAGTATTTGAAATTAAAGTTAGCTCTAGTGGTGTTCCGCTGCTTAGTAATTTTTTTAGCGTCGAATAGCGTTAGAGACTCGAAGATAACGAGGCAACCGCCTTGCGAAAGTTTTTTGCGTAGACGTTCACAATGGCAGGGCTTATTAACCATATCACATGCTCGCAGGATCTTACTTTTAGCGGTTTCTAAGTGGACGTTATCAGGTACATTGTACACCATGGCTTACCGAGGTGATGCTAATCGCTTTATTACTTCAGTGGCAATGAAATCTGATAAACTGTTGGTCTTCTGCAAGTTGTCACTTGATAGGGTGTTAGTTTTGTCAAACAAATAAGCTAACGGAGAGAATTTCTCCAGCGTCCCCTGAATATCATCTGAGATAATTCTAATATTGGTAGCGTCATTTTGGTTTTCCCCGAGTCTTGCATCCACTCCGGAGACAGTGTCCGAAGCTCTGATGATCGGTGTGCGGGAAATAATTTCCCCTGCATCTAAACTAAAAGTTGAGGCATGTATCTCACTGCCTTTAGGGACGGATCCTGAGGCACTTGTTTTAGAATTTCCACTAAGACAGTCCGTTTTTGAGCGCTTAGCTTTATTTCTTTCCATAGTTGGGGTATGCATTTTGGTTTATTTCCTGTTGTGTCAGCGAGAGATTATTTAGCACGGAAAGCTAAACGAATTCGTTAACCGAATATGATATAACTGTGTGTTACTACTTTTCAGGTAGTACTAGACGTCACAGTACACAGAACAACCGTTTAAGAGCAAACGACAGAAATCACGTTAAAATGCAACAGTTTCGAACGTACTGCGTACTTTTGGTTCGTTAGCCGAAGTGACTCTATAGCCTGGTTGGAAAGGGTGATGATTTGGGTCGTAAACCGTCGCCCGAGGTCTACTGGATTGAACTCTCTTGCGCCAAACACACTGCTACGCGAGAGAGGAAAACAACTCAACTCGTTAATTTGTAAGACCTTGGTCATGGTGTTATTACCTAGCACGCGATCAACTACGTACAAATTGGTGCGCTTCAGTACCCACTTACCAGTACATCACCCTAGTGTATGCACTACTGCCAAAAGGCAAATAAAGGAACACTTTGGGCTACAAAAATCAGTCGAAAGAGCACTTTGTTTGCCAGGCTGAAGTAACAGGAAGAGTCTGGAATAAAATCTGAATTTATCTTTTCATTAATGGCTAAACTATGGGCCCAGAGTACGTGTCTGCTGATCATCAAAAAGGACGCAGAAACAGAGGTCACCAACAGGCAGACGTCTATGAGTTTGAAGCAAAGCTCGCAAAACTAAAGTCATACTCTGATGCCGTAAACGACTACTTCCCTCATATCTAGGTGTTCAAAATATTCGTCCATTCGTCCTAAATCTAGTTTCATTTTGGTGCAGATGAGGTAAAATACAGTCTATCTTTGTTGTCCTGACCTAGCTATTCTAAGGAAATCCAAACAGTTTTCATTTGAATTTCTTTTACGGACTTAGAATCTGATAAGTGAATTGAACAAAATGGCCCAGAAATGGACCGTTCAAAACACGCTTTGCGATTAGACTGGAGGACGACCAACTAGTCAATAATGTCATTTTTAAACAACGGATTATCTACGTACTTTGATATTACCCACTTTTGGTGATTACCTAGGGTCATCGATCTGGATACATGTTCCAACTCGCCTCAGGGCGTCTTTTCCACAAATTAGTGGGGTCCGAAATCAACTATGTTGTTGTAGGGCGCTAACGGCTAGCCAATTTCCCACCGAAATCGTGACCAAAAGGCGTCAACATGTAGCTGATGGATATCCTTCATGTTACTGATTACATCGCAGTGTTTGCAGCATCGTGTACATGATAGCAACTTGCAATGTCACTTCCAATCTCTTTACAAAGGCCTGCAGAGGAGTGTCGATGAGTTTTTCGGGGTATCACACTAGTCATATAGGTAGCCAGAGGGACCTAGGTCTTCGTACACTCAGTTATCAAGAACCAACAGGCGGTTAGCCGGAAGCCTACAAAGTAACGGGCAGTTCCAATCATCCGGGTACAGAAAGGTTATCTTAAGGTTATCAGAGCGATCCATGAGGACGCTGCTGAGTCGCTTGCTAGGAAGCAGGTGTTTATGTACGGTTACTATTCTTCCCATTTATAGTGCATGTTTTTTAGGATTTACTGACGCTCGACTCATTTGATCGGTAGATATCTCCAGGACGACTGATCTGAATAGTTTTCCGAGGATGTGGCATTAAACGATCACAGCAGTGCCATCTTTCTACTCCAAGTCATATCTTTCCTTTCAAGTAAAAACAACCTTCAATTCTCCCTACTTGGGTTTAGCATTTAAGCGGCTTTGTGTACTGCACGGATATCCTTCAAAGATGTGATACTGTATCGCGACACTGAGAACAAATCAGTCGACTCACCCTAGCTCGTAAAAAACTTATGCGTGATACATTGATCTAGCTCTCAGTTTTATAAGCAAGAGACTGACGTAGGTCTCACCATCATTTTGTCGTCAAACTTCAAACTTCATGTTGTAGAATTATTGAATGGCTGTTCCTAGGGTTCTACCTCTGTCTTATTGGAATACGTTCAAGATCAGGGTCTGAACTGGAAACAAGGGAATGAGAATGATCTATCACTTATTGCATATTGAATGTTTGAGGAGCGTTATGCAAACTATCTGATCAGGTGATTTTAGGAGGTGCATTTAAAGTTATTGTGTAATGTGATGCCTCCCTGGGGGCTGGCTAAAAAGCCTGTGAAGTTGTTCTTGAACTTTTCGTTTGGACAGTTTCTTTCTCAGCCACTAGAGGATGACCAAATATTAATAACGTCGAATGGGATTGGGTGTAAAGATATTTACTTCAACATTGATGTAAGATATCCTTATATACTAATCTTATATGATAGAAATTAAATGCTTTACTGTCCGAAAGTGGAATCCCTCTGGTTGTCTGTGTGGCTTACATCTCTGAAGTAGTTATATGTCTCCCATGGAGTGTTGAAATCAATGGATCGACTTTGTCGTTCAGGCAACTTCAGAAGTCTGCTCACCATCTGGGAGTAAGTGCTTTTTGATCGCTTTTCTATAATCTCACAAACTTTTAAATTTTTGACAGTTTGATTCTACTTTAACTGGTTTAACGTATGTTTCACGTCAAACCTAATTTAGTCGATCGATAACAGGACACTGGTTATTTTGTAAGACTATCTGAGTCTGTCACCTGATGATGCCTTTGGAAACAGAAGCTTTGGACCGAATCATTTTTCAAAACTGACATTGTATTAAGTGTTCCATATTGACTGAATTCACTAGTACAAATAACAACCACAAGCACCGAGGATCCACTAAGTAGGGGTAACACAACCTTTTATAGGCAGAGTTTCATTGAAAAGTCGTCTTTTTTTGAAGTGACTTAGTTTCTCACTGCTAAATCGCTTTGAATTAGATGTCAGGGTTTAAGGAATTACAATTAGAACTGTTTTGGTATTCGATTACACATCATAATATTACACTAACCTAGTTTGAGTTCAGTAACGCCAATTTCTTTTATGCGAAAAAGCACAAAATATGGAAGATCTTAAAGGCCTGGCAAGTACAATACCTGATTACAAAAACCTGACTACTTACAAGTTTTCCACGTACAACCTGAAATAATACAAGAGTAATCTATATTGGCTTAAAATTACGATGAACAGGTACGAGGCACTTGAGTATGACATGACTTTTCGGTTGTGACACCAGTAAACTTTATTCACAGGCATCGAGGCGGAATATAAAATACACTCAGCATTTTGAAGGTTGGTTTCCGGTTGTGTTACACAGCAGCAGAAATAAAATGAAGTCTATACGCGGTGAAAGAGATGTTGAACTTACCAGGCTGATGGTACAGTTGAAGCCTATTCGTCTGAGTATTGCTTTCCTCGTAGTGTCGTTCATTCTGGGTCAGCATGAAAGCTGGTATTTCTGGATTATAGTTCAGGTTGTCACATTTTACATCAGCACATCCAAGTAGAAGGCATTAGCATCAAAAATAAGTCAGAAAAAATGCAATCAAAAGTCGTGAAACGAGAGGAATAACGGCTAAACGGTGGGAATTAGTATAATGATTAAATCGGTTCTGACCCTTATCACTCTGTATCCGGCCACTGAGTTTGGCTGTCACACAGACCCTAGCCAGGAAATCTACGTCTCGTCTTATTGTATACATAGATCTGTTCACTGGTGCAAGCAACTTTGCACTTTCATATAGGCGACATGTAATTGTTGTTGGTGTAGTTAACCAACCTCGTTTTGACTACGGTGTGCAACAGATGAAATGATGAATCTTTCTAACTGTAACCATACATAACCTTTTAATTTGTTTCCCATACAGCTTACTATGTAAGGTGAATTGACATATCTCCAGTTATTTGAACAATATGTTATTGAATAGTCCCGTTGGTTCTTACATTAATTGGTTTCTGTTGGTGTTATATCGTCCTGACTTTGACCACCAAAATGTTCCGAGTATTAAATAGTTCAGTCAGTAGTTAACATTTGCGTAAGAATGTCCTTCGGAATGTTCTTAAATTCTGTTACCATTTGTATGGGGGTTACCATGGGAAATATCTAATGAAACTAAATAAGGTGATCGTTTGTAAAGATGACTAGTCGTAACTTTAGTTCCAGTGAATTCATTTCTCATGACTTTCCCGGTATTGCTGGTATGCACAGCCTAAAAAGCATCATTTCTGCTGTAAAGGGAATCGCCATGTCGTTTCAGGGTATCAGGTGACTCACTATAGGCATATAAGGTTAAAGCATAGCCCATATATTACATGTGGATTGATTATTCCTCAAAAATTGATCCAAGACTAGTCCACAGCGGTATAAAAGTTTCACTGTGTTTCGGAGACAGTTTGAAAATGTTAGTCATTTCACTTATCTGAGAGGTCTTGTGTCAGCTAAGTTTAGTTTTTAGCTGTTGAAGTATTGGCATGGATAATGAAAACCTACTCCACGTGCTCCAGATAAGGTAGAGAAGAGTCTGCTGCGGACCAAGCGATGTATGTAGCATCTTTTTCTTGTCGTACGTCGACACATCATGTTACCTTAAGTAGAATCAGATTCATGTGAACTTCAGTTTTATCAGATAAATACTTGAAGTCGTGGCTCAAAATCGACCAAAACTGTGCGAATCTAATCTCTTTTCACAGTCTCAGCAATTTAACTCATTTTCAGTAACCTTCAGTTACTTTTCATCTCCCTCATACACGTCTGTCTACTTTAATATTTTTATCTGTCTACTTATCCTTTATTTGGTTTTACGAAGTGTGGTTACTTAAACTGACGCGCTTATGTAGCAGGCTTCAATCTATCTTTTATAGCCTAATATATTATTGGCATTTGGAAATAAAAGGGGGATCGGAGAAGTCTGTGAATAATCAGCCACAAACTCTTTCACAGCAACGAAACAAACGAACGTAGTAGCGCTGTCGTTTGATGGTATAACTGCCGGCAATGTTGACAGTAGGCGTAGAGCACCAGGCAAAGTAAATCAATTAGCTGCCATCATTTTGAACCTTTACTAGTCAAGCGTTTTTGACACGTTTTTGTTAAACTTCTTTCTTTAAGTGTTTGGTCTGTAAAACACCATACTCCATTTTCTAAATTGCACAACACTTGATAATTTCTGTATTTTTAAGTATAGAAATATATTGAGATATGTGTAAAGCTTTCTAGCGTCAACAATACATATTCAACATCTGAAAGTAGGTCGCGTCCCGTTGTAGGAAAATTTCTTAGCTGGGTATCCCTCTTCACAGAAAACAAATCCGTTGACCCGGTTGAGAACTAAATTCTTTCACAAAGCTAAATGTTGGTAGCACAGATAGTGGGAGTGCACTTCGGCTATTCTGATTCTCCATATATGTTATCGACGTAAGTATTCCTACAAGTCAAAGCTAAAGATCTTTGTATTCCGGTTACGGTTTACGTTGTATGCGAAGGTGACTATTTTAAACTTGAGGTGAAAGCTTCTCACGAAAGCTTCCCTGATTAATAGTAGTAGGTTATTTGATAACGAATACATTTGGTTTCTTTTCTGGATAAGAGGTAACTTATTGTTGAAGTTAGTAAGCTGTCCAGAAAAGTTAGGTTTTCAGCAGCTCTATCTCTGTACTGAACAGTCATCTATCCTCTTCCGCATCACACTGTGAAAGTGAAACGCGAGATTCAATTTATTTAGGTCTCGAGGCAAAGGTGTAGGCCATCCAACCACTGGGTCATAGGAGTCCAATGGTTCACAGTTTCACGCCTGTGTTAATTTGTGATATAGCGCGACTATCGACCAAGGTCTTCAGTTGGCATCCGCTTCACTTCCGACTGGTTGACCCCACAGGTCACAACTTCCAATTAGAACTTCGGGATGTTCATCTTGAAAGATGTCACTAATGAGCACTTGAAAATAATTTAGTCTGAGGTTTGTAGGGGTATTATTTGTCTGAAGATAATATTCATCGACTGGACTGATATCGTTCGGGAAACCATTAAAAGTCTGGGCGATGTATTAGATGTATTAGAAATAAGGCTTTTGTATCGGTTCTGATATTTTGTTGACTAAAAGCCATTGTGCACTGATCCTTTTACTATTCCATGACACATGAATTAATCAGTTTTTATCCTAACCAGCCTTTGGTTAACATCTATAAGTCTTGTGTGTACTTTGCACCACCAAAATACAAAGTACTTTTGCAAGTCTGATATTAGCTTGTGTTTGCATTTACCTTTACCAATAAATTGTTGGGAGTAGTTGAAGGGCTCGTATTTCTGCACAGTTGTGTAATTACTAATGAGTGACAAATGTAATCGATCTACATACCAAGAAGTCACAGATCACCGCACCGCCATAATATCAGTCCGGCCGTAAAAGGTGAAATACACAATGGTTTGGCATGGATACTTCTGCTCTACACCTGTGAAGCCTAGCCATTGGGAGCTAAGGATGTTCAAAACTTCCGTACGTTTTTGTCACCACAGTTTCTGAAGGACTGTTCACACTTATCATACCATGCTAATAGTTCTGTAGTCTGTCAGTAGGTTTTTGGATAGTGATGTTAGTCATTCAGTGATTGATGTCTCAAAATGTTGAATTTAATGGCTAGCATACGTCTTACCCATGTCTTCCCAACAGCTTTCGTACTCACTAGTGTTTGCCGGCCTTATGTTTGAGTCGAAGGGGCTAATAGTTACTTAGTTTATGAAGCGGCTTTGTGGAATGAAGTACAGGTGTGTTGATAGAGTATCTGATGGCACAGCTTACCATCTGCATGACCTAAATAAATAACGTGGGGAATGAATTACGATGTACACCAATTTTACACATACTTTCTACTATCATGCAGAGAACAAAGTAGATTTGAATATAAGGTTTCATAGGCAGTAAAACTGCTAAAATGTACAACACACTATGTCAATACTATATTCTATTGTATAATAGTTGGCACACATTTTTCTTCATCCAGAAGTGAAAGAGGTTCATTTGTTATACCATGGTGGCCAGCTTAAGACGACATTAATCCATTAAGTCTCTGATTCTTAGTCTGAGCCATGTACGGAGGTGTTGACTGCCTGGTCGAAGTCCTCAAGATGATAGGAATCAGTGGTTGAGGATTCTTAGTGAAATAGCTGGAGATCGGCCACAATGGTGCGGATGTATTCATTCTTTGACGTCTTCCAAAGCTTACGTATTTTCAAGTTGGTATTCATCACGGACTGACATCAGTTGGCGAGCCATTGAACAGCCGTTTCATCCTAGTATAAGTCTCCTGAGCAGTGCGCATCCATAACCCTAACTGGGGTGGAACTCAGGACTTTCTGGTTTTATAGGCAGCACGTTACCATTGAGCCATTGAGTCAGAATCCAGTGATTCACGTTTTTATACTTCTGTCGATTTGCAGTTTAACGCAACCTTTATCCAATGCCATCATTGAGTAGTTGTTCTCAGAATCTATTTGGTTGGCCCCACCGGTCACGACTTTTTAGTTAGAACTTTGAGAAATTCCATCTCTATACAACTCATTAACCTTCATTTTGAAATTCGTTCTCCTCCCATATAAACAGATAAAGTCAATATAAAATCTCACACACAAGTTCATCGACTCAGATTGCCACGTTTCACAGGGGTAAACAAGAACAGGTGGATAGGAAAATGTGGTAAAAGGTGTGTTGGAGAACAAGCAATTTGAAGATAAAGGTTAGTACGAATATTCAAGCTTTAGAAGATATCAAGGAGTGAATACATTTGCACCACTGTGATCGATTTTCAATCATATCACTAAGATTCCTCAACCACCGATTACTATCGCCCGGGAGACCCCAACCAAGTAGTCTGCATGCCCCACATGACTCAAACCCACAGTCAGAGACTTCATACAGTGGTGCTATATTTCGATCTGGCTACCCTAAACCCTCTTCCAACTTAATCCAGCTTTCCCTAGCATAGCACATCAAGGTAGGCGTTGGTTGGACATGCATGTCTAGGCCACCTCAGTCGATGAAGGTTCACAACTTCACCAATCGACTTGCCTGTCTTTTCTAGTGACTCACAGTGAATCAAGACATTATCAGATGTGGCCTAGAATTGAAACCATTTTGGTTATTGTAAATATTCAGTCCATAGTTGTTACAAATGTCCTGGAAGAATTTGAGCGCCGAGTCTTGTTTATTCATTATATAAGCAGAATATTCATCTGAAGAAGCTGTGGTATGCACAGTGAAACATTTGATTTTCAAAACCTGTTGGGATTATACATTGAAAGCATTATGTTGTAGTTTGTTTGTAACTTTCCTCTTCTTGTGAACAGCAATACAGAAACGATAAGAGCTTATTCGACGCATCTTATATGACTGCTTGCCATGTTACCGAAGTGATTGACTATTCTCCCTTAGAAATTATAAGATGAAGACTGGTCTGTGACTGTAAGGAAGATAATTCTGTTTGAAAAAAAAGCATCGTTTATATACAGTTTTTTCTTCGAAAAATGAAGCCACTAGTTCAGAAGTTGGATACTTATTTTGACTAGTTAGCTGTAGGAGAAAATTGTCCAATAAGGTTTTTCCTGCCTACACAGTAGTATGAAGCAAGGTTGAAATTCAAAACTTCTACCTTAGCAGCTGATGACTTAAAATGCTGATTTCGACTTGAGACGCTTCTTCATTTTGACTTTTATGTCTAGATTCTTTTGTATTGTTTTATGTGATGTAATTCTGTGTTCATTATTTGTGTCAATATTAGTTTGAAATAAATGAAATATGCTTGCGATCAGTTGATTTCAATAATGTCTTATCGTATATCATATTGCTGTAATCTAGGCCTCTGATCCTTGGTTCTTCATTATTTATTTATGTAATAAATAACAAACTAAGTTATTTGTTTAACTATAAGACGATACAACTTATTGATCATCCCTTAAGTTTCTACTCTGGTGTGCGGTATACCAAAGGTGTAGCTGTGTTTGTATTCTCACTGGAAATATAAGAAACAGCCTTTTTATTGTTATTGCTTGTATTACACCGTCGTTGATAGGACCGAATTGATCAGCCTCTGTTGGCATATGGGCTCCTATGCGGATGCCTCGATATGGCCTGTTTTTTAACTATGTTTAATAATGATGGGCAGTGGCTAGCAGTGGAATCCAGAATGCGCATTTCGTCCTATTTGTGACTCGTCAGCTGGATTCCACTGCTAGCCACTGCCCATCATTACTAAAACAGCTTTTTTCTCACAACTAGATAATGACTGAAGGTCAAATGAAAATCTGGGCTACCGAAGGAGGTTGCCGGTTTAAGTCCTTTCGCAGCCCAAAATTTCATATCATCTAATAAGTGACTAACAAATTCCCACTACCCCTCTTCTCTTCCTCTTCCTTCTTCTAATTTTAGCAGATGAACTTTTAATTCAATGATATCTAGTGTAACCACTGCAGCATTCGCTGTTGCCAAGGCTGCAGATACATCTACAATTCCTAAAAGTCTTTTTGAAGAAAGCGTTTTTGGAACATCAGATGTTGGTGGTGTTGATGTTGATACTGGTGACAAAGAAAAAATTCCAAAAAATTTACATGAGCAAGCCTACCAATTCTTCGAAAATCTAACTGCTGCTGCTGAGACTATAAGTGTCGATACAAAAGGTGCCAGTTCTTATGTGGATCAGGATAGTAAGCAGAGGATAGCACATATGATTGATTCGTGTAAGTTTTGTTGTTGTGGTGGTGTTTTTGTTGGACAACACTGGGGTATAATAACTTATATATCTCAGTTTATTAATAAATAAGAAGTATCACCTAGAATATAGATACAGAACGTGACCACTATGGTATATTTGTAATTCCATTTTAGTCTGGTTGTTAGGAATGCCATACAGCGAAGCAGTATCATTTACTGAATAACGTTTCGGTCACAACTTACTGTCCGTAGTCATATCGTGCAACTCCAAAACTTTGAAACAGTTTATGTAGTTCTAATCTCTCCTTCTTTATGATAACAAGGGTAGTAGAATTTTCCACGTATCTGGAACAGGTGCAGAATTATTTCTACTAAATGGATTTAGTGTCGATTTGGTGATCAAAGATTCGGTTATCAATCTACCTCTCCAAAACAAAATATATAAATAAACTGATGAAGTTGCCATGGGATCACGAACACCACCTAGCGTCGCTGACATACTCATGGGAAGTTGGGAATGGATATCCCATCAAACATTTGGTCCAATCTGAACGTATAGTTTAGATATGTAGATGATGCACTTACAGTACTGAAATTAGAGCACATCAGTGGGTAATTGACACAGATGAATTCATTAGTAAAAGTAGTCCAATTTATCTGTGACTGAGAAGGTGATGAAGGTGTTATCAGTATTGGATTGCAAAATTAAACAAATGTAACATGGAAGTTTTGACAGTAGTGTCCATAGGAAATCTACCCATTCGAATCGATACTTGAACTTCAAATCATCTCACCACATCTCAGTTCAAGTAGGTTAAATGTCTGAGTAATAGGGTGAAAAAGCTTAGTTGTAAGATAGAAAATGAGACAAAAAATTAGATACATCAAGAATACCTAACTTCTCAATAATTACCCAGCTAAATTTACCAACAAATTCATGGTAATAGTAAGAGAGGTATTAATAATAATTCTAGTACTACTGTTAATAATAGTGGTAGTAATAGTAGTGACAGTGTGGAGAGAGCTCAAAGCATCCGCTGCGTTACCCTACAAACAGGGCACATGTGAAGCGTTAGGAGGAGTTGTCAATTAGACTGTCTGGGATTAAAGTGACATTTAAACCAACAAACTCGCTGAGAAACAAGCTTCGTAGACTTCAAAGACTCTCTAGATCCAATTAGGCAAAGTTATTCAGTTTGCCAAATCTCTTGCAATGAATGTGAGGTCAAATATATGGGTCATGGTAGAGTCGACCACGGTGAATAACAAGAAAGACAGAACACAAAATCTCAACTAAATCAAGATTATTAGGTGCTATTAAGATGAAGGACTTCGAGAAAAGCTCGACTGTAACTGTGAATGCAATCACACACAATCATACTACAGTGTAGGATATAGTGACAGTATTAAAAACTAACGTGGATGGGTGGAGGGAGAGATTGATAACCGATTCTTTGTTTATCGAACCAACACGAAATACATGCAATAGGAGTGATTCGACTCCTACTCTAGACACATGGAAAATTCTACTACCCTACCTTGTCATCACAAAGAAGGAGAGAGAATCAGAACTACATTAAACCATGTCTCAGTGTTGTGGAGTTACGTGATATGAATATGGAGAATGGATTGTGTCTGAAACGTTATCCAGTCAATGATGCTGTTCCTTCTTCAGTGTGTGACAGATCTAATAACCAGACTAAAATGGTATTCGAGCAGTAGTTATTTGGTGGTCCTTAGCTTTAGATGCAAAACATTTACCAACCTCTCCTACCTTTATGGTCTCAAGTATTACAGGTTTTCTTTTATTTGCTTCCATTTCTCTACTTCTTATATCACAAAGTCAATGTAATACCACTTAATTCTTTGAATGTTTTGTTCTGTTATGCAACTCAATGTTCAGTCATGATCACTGTGATCTAATTCCTATTAATGAAAGGTTTTTCACGTTCACTACTGTTAGCAGTCACCACCAGTATCCGGGATACTGCCTTATAGGATAATCGTGGTGATTATTTCGTTGAAAGAAATCTGAAAAATAGGACAATAAATAAGGAGATTAATTAAAATATGCTCAAAATTACTCATTCCACACAGTGTTTGAGTGAAATAATGACTGGTAATGTCAGCCACACTATATAAAGTTGACATAGGGACATGCTGGATACTGGGAACTGTCAGTACTCGTAGCATTTACTTGAATTATGACACTGGGTAACTATTTCCATGTCTAATAAACACACAATTTATTTTAAGTATCCATTTCACCTCACAGATACACGTTAAAAGAAACTGGATATAAGTAAGACTTTACATCTTGGGGAATGAAACCACAGAGATGAGGTTCTTTTGACTGACTACTTTGAATCTTTTGAATATAGATGCCTCACTGAAAATTTAGCCTAAATTGAAGTGTGTAATGCTAAGCATTTGGATTATATCACAATATATCCAGATGTAATTCGTACTTGAAAACAGAAGCTGAGATGAAACCACACGCATAAATACAAAATTCTAGCAGATTTATTTTAATGATTTCAAGGAAATATTGTTTAATTGTAATCACATATTCCTTCCTTTTAAGGTTGTTTTTTTCTTATCTCTCTTAAATTAACTACAGATTTGCTTATCATCAGTGATTTCCCCTTTTTTTTCGTAAAATAATTGATGCCACATGTTTTCAGTAGATCAAATGTTTTTAAATTGAAGACATGGTTTATATAGTTCTAATTTTCGAAACGTTTATAGCATTATCATAAAAAAGGTACCACCGAAACTATTGTGGTGAGGAGTTATGAGAACGGACGATAATACTTAACTGTTCAACCCGAGTGATTCTCAAAGAGAAATCAAAAGACTGGTAATCAGTTGAGCTGAAAACGTTTATTTGTAAAAATGCACCCTATTTATAGAGTTTACAGTAACGTTGAAAGGCAAGGAATAATCAGATGGGAGCCAATCAGAATGCTCACTCGTTATATGAAATATGACCCTTGCGCGAGAAGAAATACAGCTCAAGTAAATACAAATTGTAAGTTTGGAATGTAAGAGATGTAGACATCCCTAGCAAAAACATTGTATAGGATTCTCATTAAGGCTGGGATTCGGGTAGCATTTACACCTACAAACTCACTTGAAAATAACCTTTGTAGGTTAAAAGTTTCACTATTAACTACTCTTCAGGTTTCTCATAGTTTTTCAATCAACTCCAATTCATGCAAGACAAAGGATGTGAGAGAATTAGAACTATATCAACCATTATCATTTTGACTATCTGAGATAACCGTGGTACGGCAGACTAGTATTTGTAATAGGTGATGATTGAAGGTGAAATGAGAATTTGGACCGCGAGCTGATTCGAACCAACGATCACCGAGTTTCCGGCCCGATGCTGTACCAACTGAGCTACTAGGTCCGACTGCTGACCAGATTTGCATTTCGCTCTAATCACCAAGGGTTTTGTCCGACTATCATGTGAGTTTGTGACGTTACTATCGCTTGATCGTATTCACACTGGTTACCCGGTTCAGTCAGGACTTCTGATTCCAATCCAAATCTGACTGAATTAGAGTGGGGGGCATCATACTGATTATTATTTGACTGAGACAGCAGCCGTAGTTTGGCAGACTAGTATTTATACTGTCAAACCACAGCTGCTATCTCGGATAGTCAAAATGATAATCAATATGATGCTCCCCCTCTCTAATTCAGTTAGATTTGGATTGGGATGAGAAGTTTTGACTAGGCAGCCAGTGTGAATACGATCAAGTAGTAGTAACGCATCACGAATTCACATGGCAGTCGTCGGGTAAAACCATTGGTGATTGAAGGTGAAATAAAAATCTGGTCAACAGTCGGACCTTGTAGCTCAGTTGGTAAAGCATCGGGCGGGGAACCTGGTGGTCGCTGGTTGAAATCCTGCTGCGGTCCAAATTCTCATTTCACCTTCAATCATCATCCAGCATAAATATATAAACCATATCTCAAAGTTGTGAAGTAATCCTGACATCAGTACGGACAATAAATTATGTTCGAAGTGTAATCCAGTAAATAATTCTGTTTCACTGTGTAACACATCTAATAAGCAGATTAAAGTAGTGTCATCCAGAATATACAAAATACTAATTAATTTTCTATAGAGTATTGTATTCTTATAACTTTTAGTGTAAAAAATACAGAGAGAAATACTGTAAGATAGGTTACACACTGATCGTTGCAAAAACATTCATTTTCTTTTTGTCATACGATGTATGCGCTCCATTCAATTCTGAGGATCACTATGACTTCACGAAACTTGTTTAATTCAAATGAACTTTAGAATAGATCGATGAATATCTTCGCTACACTGTCAAAGGAATTAGTGATATTGTTGTCAATTTGATGAGTTGAACCTTGAGAAATATTCAGATTAGTTTCACCCATGCTGGAGTAGATGGAGTGACATTTTAGCTGACAACCAATCACTTAAAGTCTTCTATTAAATAATAATTGGCTGAACAAGGTGATGAATAATGGTTGGTTGAAACGTTGAATATGGTATGACATAACATCGTGTCATATAGCTGAGTAGTATGTACTCATGTGAACAAAATTATCCATTGTTTGATTTCACTTGATTTAGGTGTATCTTTAAAACTCAAACTGAGTGACGATTGCTTGCTGTGTCTCCAACAGCAGAGTTGAGCATGTAACTCAATCAATCATGTCTTCAAAAAACTGAAAAGTAGAAGGGGAAAGATATACAGCTGCGCAACCACAAGCATGTTCTCGCAGTAGTCAATGAATCACACCTTCTGAGTTGTGTTTAATGATGCTATCTGGTTGTCAAAACCTCAGTAAGTGAAGTGAGATAGAGAAGCCCTGACTTACTGGCTGGAAATCGACGCCCCAGAGCAGTGAGCTATGCTTCATGAATGACTACTGCTTTTATTCCTTCCTTTTCTATTTTAACTATGTTGTTGTACTGTTTTCTGTAAATATTCTGTAAACGTTCGTAATACAGAAAACTGGTGTATCTCTAGTTTTATGGTACTAAGTTATTTGGTTCTGTAGATTTTTCCATTAAGAACTAAAGCTGTAAGCAACAGTGTAGGAACTCTGGACTGTGTAATGTTAAGTTAAATTTCATTATTTTCAGAGAGGAGGTAACTATATAATCTGTTACATTTTCAGTTTAAAGTCAGTGATTCAGAAATGTACCTCCAGAGCTGACGGATGACATCCAGAATTTTAATACCTCAGTACCAACTGCACCAAGTTCACTGTGATACTAACAGCACTGCTAAGATTTGTTTACATGAAACAGTTTATTAGAGGATGAACATTTCTTCGCGAATATGCGTTAAGGACTCCGAGTTACAGATGAAATTAGTAGCCTTTCAAGTGATCCTCTAATGTGATATCAGAGTGTTATGCTGGCAGATGGCCAATAAATTCTTACTTATTCCAGTAGAAGAAGTCAAAAGATGGAAAGGATGAAGAAACCGTTCACTGTCTGTACGGATATGTGAGGCATTTATTTGTTAGAATTTGTGATTCTTAATGGGGTTCCGTATAACACAGAAATAGTGAGAGGGTATTCAGTCTGTAACGCAGAGAGATAGAAAAATAGTGGAGAATATTTGTAACTCATGTGGGTGATCCTAGTTGTATTATGTTCTCTGAGCTGGGTTGTTTAGTCTTGAGGTTTTCATCGTCTTTCTAGTCGATATCATCAACACTAACTTCTGTATGAAGCGAGCTTTCAATATCTCTCCAAGAGTAGTGATTCAGTAGCTCGCCTTGACGAATTGGTTTGTGATTAGTTGTTTCCCTTGATCGACTGACTGTATAGATTTTCCTGTTGGCTGTTCTTCTGTTTAACCTCTGACCTCTCTGTCGTTGATCATTTTTCTCATTGGTTGATAGATTGGGTCTATGCCTATACATCTATTGGATTTGTGACTGACTGACTGACCTGAATGCCAAGCTTCTAGGAATTCTGTGATATTCTCTGTGTTTCCTCCCTCCGTCCATGATTTCTACATAGTCGAGATTGAGTTCATGTGTATAGTTGTTATCCAGGTGCATTGAAATGAGTGATGAAATGTGATGACGTTTAATAGGCAGTCGGTGTTCATGTAGATGAAGGTGAAGAGGGCGACCACTTTGTCCAATGTAGTGTTGATCATAATTATTGCAGTTGATTTTGTAAAAGATATTCTGCTTGTCTTGTTTGGTTGTTGGATCCTTTGGTCTGCATAATAATGTTTGTAGGGAATTAGTTGGTTTATGAGGCAGGCACACCGATTCCACCAAGTGGTCTGAGTAGTCTTGTTGTGATTTCTGATGTGTTCTTTATGTATGGTAGGACGATGGGTTTTTTGATATCTGTGGATGACTTTGTAGTTGATGATGTACGGGATAGGCATCTTCTGATAAGGATTGGTAAGTAGCCGTTCTTGTTTATGGTGGACATGAAGTGATTTTCTTCGTTTCTCCGTGAAGTTGTTGTACTGCAGTGCAGTGTGTTTTCACTCTTTTGAATAGAGTCTGGGTGGAACTGATTTTGTGCGTTGTTGGATTGTTGCTACTGTAGTTGAGTATTTGATCAGTGTGTGTTGTCTTCGTGTACATTTGGGTTTCGATTTTTCCAGCATTTGTGCTAGTGACTAGCACAGCATATGTCCAAAACACATCAGCTGCTAAAGATTCATAACCTCATCAACCTCGACATCGCCCACACGGTGATTCCACAACATATGATCAATGCTTCGAAGACACCTGTGGTCGAAAACCTGTGGTGTTTTCATACCTTCTGCCTTCAGCAGTCATATTTCACAGTCGTATAACAGGATAGAACGGACTGCAGTTCAGAACACTCGTCCTTTTAATAGGTAGTCGGATATCTCGCCAATCGGCGCCAAAAATGACGCAATTTGTTAAATGTCAAACTAGCCTTCTATATCCAAGCTGAGATTTCGTCGGCAACTAGCCTGTTGGTTCCGACGCAACTCTTCAAGTAAGTGAATTGATCAACTCATTCCACCACTTCATTCTCTATCATTAAACTGAGAGTGGTTGCAAACCATTCGTAAAGCATCATTTTACAGTTGCGAAACACATTCCAGATACGCATTCAGAAGACCCTGAATTTTGAATTATTTTTTTTCTCCTTGTAATGCGGAATAGAAGACAGAATTCAAAGTACCAAGACGAAACTATTGAACAAATATTACTAGTTTGTAGATATTCATTTATTGTTGATATGTGTTTTGAAATATTTTAATTTCTTCTAATTACAATTGCAGTAGTCGCACAGACAAGCATAGTTCTACGTGATGTCAGTATTCGTGTTGAATGTGAACTGAGACTGCCTGGACTTGATCGTGCCTCTGGGTTAACACTGACCGTTAAACATTTATCCATATCGAATCAGTATAAAACAGAAGAGAAACACCCACCGTCATCGTCATCACATACAACTAGCGGTGGTCGTTGGTCATGGTTATGGTGGTGGCATGGTTCAAACAATGGGAGTTGTAAGTGCTATATACCCATAATTTTGCATAGTTTTTACCTGCTATTTTACCCATGACCTTAAAATAACCTACATAGCTGTTTTCACACCGTTACTAGTTTTTCTTCCCTCTGCTCTCAAGGCTGAACTCTTATTGGTTGTTAACTATTTGTGGATTTAGTGCTGTCTAGGTCATTTGGAAATGTTTGTATTCAGCATCGCTGTCCACTCCATTAACTGTTGTTCAAACAGTAAATAACTCTCTCTCTTCTTGTCTTCACGCGTCGTTGGTATTGCTGTGGTGATGGTTGGAGTTCTGATTTTCGTTAGAGTCGATTCGTTTACGCGTTAGGTTCGTATCGTTCGTAGTCTTCTAGGCGCGTATCTCTCGTAATCTGTCAAGTCGTACTACCAGTCATAGCAGTAAGTTTTTGAATAGTTATATAGGATTTACGCAATAAACTAATCTGGAGGTTGTATTGAATAAGTGGTTAGATTGGTATTACTTACCAACTGTGTAATTTTTCATTTTGGTTGCTTGAATTGAAAACATACTCGGTGATTCCAGGTTAAGCAGAATTGACATACTCCCATGTTGACACTTACTGAATACCAATGACTTCAAGGTTATGAATGTAGTTCTGAGTTTCATGCACAATGGTACACCTGGTCGCTTAACTGCACATTCATTTTTTTGGGTTCATGGAAAGTGACAGATCATATAGGCGAGTTGTTGAACACTCCAGCTGCCTGGAGCAAGATAGTTTTCATCTCGGTATTTACAATGAGTTTTTGATAAGAATCCAATTATGTATCAATTAGTTGTTAACTACTTGAACTGGGCATAATACACTGCAGAGACTTTGAAAAGTAAATGAATAAACTTTTATAATGGATTCAACAAACTGGCGATAGAAATTGACTTTTGATGTGTTTTATCTTTCGATGAGTGTTCAAAGTCTACTCATTATTCATACCAATATGAGAAAACTACTAAGGTTAGGTTATTGTGTGTTCTGAAATTGTGCAGCCTGTGTGTGTGTATCTGTCTGTGAAACAAGGGTAGATTTGATGTATTTATGATACTGGTTGAACACTAAATGGATAACCGAATACAATGCACAATATTTTCTTACCAGATAGACACAACTACTTAGAGTCACTTAAAACGGTGTTATTATTTATTATTATTATTTGTCCTTTGGCTTCCTAGTGGAATGTAGGGCTTCAGTAGTACATCGCCATTTCGCTCTCTTTTCTACAGTCTTTTGAACCTGGTTCCATGACTGCTCAAAAGCTTTCATTTCTTCCTCACACCATCTCCTCCATGTAGTCACCCTCGCCTCGGACGCCCAACTCGTCGTTTTCCTTTTGGGTTCCACTCGAGGGCCTGGTCTGGTCTGGCATGTGATGCCCAATCCATCTCAACTTCCTTCTTCTGCATATTTATTGGGCGATGGGTTCTTGGTTGGTTCGTTACCAGCCAGAGTGAGTCCCTTGTTCCTTACTCTTTCTGGTCATCTATCTGATCTTCACTTTCAGTTTCGAGTGAGCGTAGGCGGCAGCTGTTGATGATGCATGTCTGTAGTTTATTGGAAATGCTTTTCGTGACGTGCAGCCAAGTCTCTCAACCATCACACAGAAGCACTGACTTGACTGACTCGTCTTCACTTCGAAGACATTACTGAGCTTCTTATTGTGAATCATTGTGAATTATTGTGAATCACTTGGCATGTAGCATCATATAGCATAGCGTATAGCTGTTGAATGAGATTGATTAAAGTTTGTGGCAGTAAAAGCGTAGTGTTGAAGCAGTTGCCAGATTACTTCTCGGTCGGCGTTGTCGAAGGCCTTTACAAAGTCAATGTTTGAAATGGTGCACTGGTTCGAACTACTAAGCTCCAAAAATAGCAAAAAGCCTGAAGATTAACAGCGGTTATAGGCTATTCTGTTGAACAAGGAAGAAAGTGTGGTAGAGATAAATATAGAGGAAAAAAGGATGGATTAACACATTGCCTGTTGTTGCAATAGATTTTGAACTGCAGCGGTTGTGTTCTTCACTCATAGTCCCTTCGGTATCTTATGGACCTCAGAAGAGGCCTGACTCCTGTAGAAATCAGGTTACAGTTTGCTACGATCAATCTCTTGATATATTTAAATTGAAGCTTTCTCTCAGTTTAGTTTTCACTCTAGTAAGCGGTGGTGTGCAACCTGTGTCTTGTCCAGGTTTTGGTCTGGCCACTTTGAACCCTCTTCCAATCTAATCCAATTTCTCTTAGCATGGGTTTCACCCAAAATCAATATACACCCAGCAAACATGTTCACGTTTGTGCAGTAATCGGCTACATCTGTTGTGTGTTGGCTAACAATACAATACTACTACCTGATTGTTCAAACATCAGTAGCGGAAGTAGAGTTCGGATCTGTAACCCACCGTTTTGTAGCACTGCATTAAGCTTACTAAAGTAACATAAAAGCAACTTCGACAGCGTCGACCGAGAAATAATTTGGCAACTGCTTCAACACTACGCTTTTACTGCCACAAACTTTAATCAATCTCATTCAACAGCTATACGCTATGCTATATGATGCTACATGCCAAGTGATTCACAATAATTCACAATGATTCACAATAAGAAGCTCAGTAATGTCTTCGAAGTGAAGACGAGTCAGTCAAGTCAGTGCTTCTGTGTGATGGTTGAGAGACTTGGCTGCACGTCACGAAAAGCATTTCCAATAAACTACAGACATGCATCATCAACAGCTGCCGCCTACGCTCACTCGAAACTGAAAGTGAAGATCAGATAGATGACCAGAAAGAGTAAGGAACAAGGGACTCACTCTGGCTGGTAACGAACCAACCAAGAACCCATCGCCCAATAAATATGCAGAAGAAGGAAGTTGAGATGGATTGGGCATCACATGCCAGACCAGACCAGGCCCTCGAGTGGAAGCCAAAGAGAGCGATTAGTTCGGTCGACTCAACAACGGGTTAATGCAAGCAACAACATCAAAACTATACCCGTCGCACATGAAGTGGCTATCATGACTCGGTAGTTTGGTGGATAATACTCAGGTATTTGGATTGATCGGTTCCGGGTTCGAGTCTCGATGGGAACAACACCGATCTCTGGGAGGCAGATACATCCAGCTGACGAGTTGCAAATAGGACGAAACGCGTGTACTGCTTTCCTCTACTAGCCACTAGCCATCATTAATTTAGATCAAATTTAAAAAAAATGTTATCTCTAGCGTTGAACAAGAAATATAAGCGAACAGTATTGTTTTCAATTAGATACTCTTCAGGCTTTTATATAAGTAGCTAAATATATATGTGTGTTTAAAAATCAGCCTAATTATGTAAATTTGTTGGTTAGTCTTTTTAGCTGATCTATTTCTTGCTAAACTGGAGATGTCATTAATGAGATGAATATGCTTCGCCGTTATATTGACACAACACATTCATTATATGGATAGAAACGAGGTGTTAAGAAAATTTAAGGAGGTTTACCCGTCACTCACTTTCACTTGTGAAGAAGAAGATGTGAGTAAACTACACTTCTTGGATGTCTTGCTAAGCAGAAGACAAGATGGTCCACTCAACAGATGTGTTTACAGCAAGACCACATCTATAAGTCAGTACACATTTTATAAGCCACATACCTCTTCGGTGTAAAGTAAACCTGGTTAAATGCCTCACTAATAGAGCGAGAAGAATATCTTCAGATGATTCAATGTCGAAGGAGTTAGAATATATTCATAAATCATTGATGGCAATGACCTACCGTAACAGTTTCATAAACAGATACAGACAAGTCGAGGGGAAAAGAATCTGGAATTATTGCCATACAGAAGAATTCGTTGTTCATGAAATTGCAATTTAATGGAGATGTAGCCAGAGAAATTTTATATCAGAGACTCTCAAAAGCCATTAAGAAGACCTTCTACGCCGTACAACTTTGTCTGGCATTTTCCAGTCGACCAATTGTAGTTGCCCGGACAAAAGATAGGTTATCTAGTTTTGCCATTTCTGTGTGTATATACAAGTTTAGTTGCTGGTGTGGAGAAAGCTAGACAACCTAACAGATGTGTTGTTGTGAGCATCTATCTTTATGGTTGGGAAAGGGACAGAAGAAGTCCACCAGAAGTTCTGTTTTATCTCATCTCGTTGTTAGTGGTCACTTGGTAGATAAGAAGAATGCTTTCACGATTATTCACCGTATACTATCTCATCTTTTGAAAGATATTCGAACTCAACCAGGCCAACCTTATCACTTTTATTATTTGTATTATTATCACTACCATTATTCGTAAAACATTTATCACACGTCGACCGACAAATCTACATGATTGGTTTAATTTTATCTATATTCAGCTGTCTGTATTAGCGTAAAGCCTGAAGAGAATCTAGTTGAAAACAACATTGTTTGCTTATAGATGTCTTGTTCTAATTTGCACGGTGGGAATCTTTGAAACAACCGAAGAAAAATGAAAATGACAACAAAATTATCGAAGATAAAGCATTGACGAACATTCATGGAGGGATTTATTTACATCCGACTAAAAGGTGTAAAAGAAAACCTGTCATTCTCTATGAATGTAAACGTGTGGTCATTACAAAATCAACAGCACCTACATTTGATCCTATACAGCATCGGGAGTGCACAATGCTAAGGAATCACGGAAAAACATTGATCGCCGTTCCTCATCTCTACACAGCTCATATCCGTTCCCCATGGAAAAGATAGACAGAGAGGCGGACAAAATCAACGTAGAACTTCGCACGGTAGTGCATCAGCTCAAGTTGCCACATTTCACAGAAATACACAAGGAACAGGTGAATAGAAAAAGACTGATATCAAAGTAGATGAAGTGTGAGAGAATCCACAATTTGAAGATAACGGTTAGTGAGAATATTTAGATTTCAAGCAGTGAATACATCTGCACCACCCTTGTCACCGACTTCCAGCCATCTCCCAAGAGTCCTCAACCATGGATTCCTCTGGTCTCGAGGACCCTAGTCAGGTAGTCTACATCTCACTCACACGGTCCAGACCAACACTAACAGACTTCATGGACTGGTGTTAGAGTAAGGCCTGAAGAGGATCTATTTGAAAACAATACTGCTATACAGGGCGGAATTGCTCGACCTGTGTTGGCATATGGGCTTCTATACGAATGCCTCTATACTGCCGGATATTCATAATGTTATATTGGTGACTGGCAGGGGAATCCAAGAAGTACGTTTCGTCTCACTTTGAGACTCGTCAGCTGGACGCACCTCAGCTAGTGGTGTTGTACCCACTGAGACACGATAGCCACCTCTTGTGCAACGGGTATCAGTTGTTGTAATGATACTTGTAATTCCCCGTTGCTATACAGGCCGAATTGTTCGCTTATATATCTTGTTCTAATTTACATGTTGGGAAAATTTAAAATTCCTACATCTCTTTAACTGTTATCAAAATATATATCTGATTAACGAATGAATAATTGACACCATGAGAAGAATCTTATTTTCTTTGGTTTTGTCACATTTTCTTTTCAAAGTGACTAACGAAAAGTTTTGTTTTGCTTTTTGAAAAAAAAACTGTCATTAGCTACTGGCAAAGGATCAGTGATATCTTCATCACCAACTTCTACTTCAACACCTTTGGGAAGTCTATCAACCATGTTGCATAAAATCATTCATTTGGAAGAAGCAAATTTATTTTGGGATTTGTGGAGTACATCTGGTCAAGTACAAGGTTGTTCGAGTTTGTCCAGTTCACCACATCGAAGTGAACCACCATGTTCTCCACTTCCTAACAAAGTGAGTTGTAAGAGTATATTTCTATCGTATAGATTTTAGAAACAATCGTTTCCCTATATATGATCGATGACACATGGGAGCACATTAAGCATATTACTTGCACTGTTTTAGATCGAGTGTTTCATTTCCATCCCACCCGGTTGCAAACCCGGTGGTAGCTGAGTCGAATCCCATCGCGTTTCAAATTCTCATTTTACCATTAATCATAAGCCAGTATCAATAGTACAAGTCTACAAAACCATAGCTATCTCAGGTAGTCAAAATAGCTATTTTATAGACACCACTTGTAATAAGGCACAGATGTCATTGATTTCTCATAGCTGGTGATGACAGTATACAGTTGTACCTTAATGTTTATACTGATTATCTTTTTATTTTTACTTATGAAAGTAGGGGAGGTTGGTAAAGTGTTTTGCATCTGATGCTAAGGATCCACCAAATAACTACTGCTCGAATACCATTTTAGTCTGGTTATTAGATCTGTCACACACTGAAGAAGGAACAGCATCATTGACTGGATAACGTTTCAGACACAATCCATTCTCCATATTCATATCACGTAACTCCACAACACTGAGATATGGTTTAATGTAGTTCTGATTCTCTCTCCTTCTTTGTGATGACAAGGGTAGGGTAGTAGAATTTTCCATGTGTCTAGAGTAGGAGCCGAATCACTCCTATTGCATGTATTTCGTGTTGGTTCGATAAACAAAGAATCGGTTATCAATCTCTCCCTCCACCCATCCACGTTAGTTTTTAATACTGTCACTATATCCTACACTGTAGTATGATTGTGTGTGATTGCATTCACAGCTACAGTCGAGCTTTTCTCGAAGTCCTTCATCTTAATAGCACCTAATAATCTTGATTTAGTTGAGATTTTGTGTTCTGTCTTTCTTGTTATTCACCGTGGTCGACTCTACCATGACCCATATATTTGACCTCACATTCATTGCAAGAGATTTGGCGAACTGAATAACTTTGCCTAATTGGATCTAGAGAGTCTTTGAAGTCTACGAAGCTTGTTTCTCAGCGAGTTTGTTGGTTTAAATGTCACTTTAATCCCAGACAGTCTAATTGACAACTCCTCCTAACGCTTCACATGTGCCCTGTTTGTAGGGTAACGCAGCGGATGCTTTGAGCTCTCTCCACACTGTCACTACTATTACTACCACTATTATTAACAGTAGTACTAGAATTATTATTAATACCTCTCTTACTATTACCATGAATTTGTTGGTAAATTTAGCTGGGTAATTATTGAGAAGTTAGGTATTCTTGATGTATCTAATTTTTTTGTCTCATTTTCTATCTTACAACTAAGCTTTTTCACCCTATTACTCAGACATTTAACCTACTTGAACTGAGATGTGGTGAGATGATTTGAAGTTCAAGTATCGATTCGAATGGGTAGATTTCCTATGGACACCACTGTCAAAACTTCCATGTTACATTTGTTTAATTTTGCAATCCAATACTGGTCACACCTTCATCACCTTCTCAGTCACAGATAAATTGGACTACTTTTACTAATGAATTCATCTGTGTCAATTACCCACTGATGTGCTCTAATTTCAGTACTGTAAGTGCATCATCTACATATCTAAACTATACGTTCAGATTGGACCAAATGTTTGATGGGATATCCATTCCCAACTTCCCATGAGTATGTCAGCGACGCTAGGTGGTGTTCGTGATCCCATGGCAACTTCATCAGTTTATTTATATATTTTGTTTTGGAGAGGTAGATTGATAACCGAATCTCTGTTCACCAAATCAACACCAAATACATGCAGTAGTAGAAGTAATTCTGCACCCATCCCAGATATATGGAGAATTCTACTACCCTTGTTATCATAAAGAAGGAGAGATTAGAACTACATAAATTGTTTCAAAGTTTTGGAGTTGCACGATATGACTACGGACAGTAAGTTGTGACCGAAACGTTATTCAGTAAATGATACTGCTTCGCTGTATGGCATTCCTAATAACCAGACTAAAATGGAATTACAAATATACCATAGTGGTCACGTTCTGTATCTATATTCTAGGTGATACTTCTTATTTATTAATAAACTGAGATATATAAGTTATTATACCCCAGTGTTGTCCAACAAAAACACCACCAACAACAACAAAACTTACACGAATCAATCATATGTGCTATCCTCTGCTTACTATCCTGATCCACATAAGAACTGGCACCTTTTGTATCGACACTTATGGTCTCAGCAGCAGCAGTTAGATTTTCGAAGAATTGGTAGGCTTGCTCATGTAAATTTTTTGGAATTTTTTCTTTGTCACCAGTATCAACATCAACACCACCAACATCTGATGTTCCAAAAACGCTTTCTTCAAAAAGACTTTTAGGAATTGTAGAAGTATCTGCAGCCTTGGCAACAGCGAATGCTGCAGTGGTTACACTAGATATCATTGAATTAAAAAGTTCATCTGCTAAAATTAGAAGAAGGAAGAGGAAAAGAGAAGAGGGGTAGTGGGAATTTGAATCAGACTGGCTGGGATTAAAGTGACATTTAAACCAGCAAACTCGCTGAGAAACAAGCTTCGTAGACTTCAAAGACTCTCTAGATCCAATTAGGCAAAGTTATTCAGTTCGCCAAATCTCTTGCAATGAATGTGAGGTCAAATATATGGGTCATGGTAGAGTCGACCACGGTGAATAACAAGAAAGACAGAACACAAAATCTCAACTAAATCAAGATTATTAGGTGCTATTAAGATGAAGGACTTCGAGAAAAGCTCGACTGTAGCTGTGAATGCAATCACACACAATCATACTACAGTGTAGGATATAGTGACAGTATTAAAAACTAACGTGGATGGGTGGAGGGAGAGATTGATAACCGATTCTTTGTTTATCGAACCAACACGAAATACATGCAATAGGAGTGATTCGGCTCCTACTCTAGACACATGGAAAATTCTACTACCCTACCCTTGTCATCACAAAGAAGGAGAGAGAATCAGAACTACATTAAACCATATCTCAGTGTTGTGGAGTTACGTGATATGAATATGGAGAATGGATTGTGTCTGAAACGTTATAAAGTAAACGATACTGTTCTGTACTGAAGTTGGTTTCTCTCTTGTGACTAATCAATACATGAGACTTAGTCCTGCAGGAGGCCAATCGCAGCTCGAATAGCTCAGTGATTTACTCGGTGACTACAACACTGCGTGACGCGCGTTCGAATCTCAGACGGGACATCAGTCCTATTGAGGTTGCGGATACACCTTGCCGACAAGTGCCAGCAAGCATGAAACGTAAATCCTGTGCTTTATGCTGATTGCCTCCAACCAACTAGCATCTAATGTGCACCGCGATGCTGAGCCTTCTCTTGGCTTGGTGATCACGCTGAAAATATGATCGATAGGATTCCGTCCGCCGTTAGGCTTAGACAACATGAAATTGGTTACTCTGCTTTTGCCAATCAGTGCGCTGTTCCTTCACTGTGTAACACATCTAGAAAACAGAGTAAAATAGGATTTTAATTTTGTTCGTGTTTTTGTTTGTCTGTATGCCAACCTTATGGTTCAGTATATGCTTTCATATAAAGTTCGTAGAGTACTGGATCACGTGAGCTGTACAACCGTGTTTACTTTAGTATATACATCCGTAATAAAATATCATAAATCACATTTGACTTTCGATATTTTATTGTGAAAACTATTCATATAGAAAATAATCCAACAAAGTAATTATGTTTCTTTAAGGCGATGACTTTCAACCAATTGGTCGCGAGTTGGAACACCGTTCTATCTACTGAGATTAGGTCAACTCTCATACAAAAGGTGCCTACTGCAAGGATGTGTATAAAGTTGCTGAATAGATCCTAGATTTCGGTAGCACCAAGTGCGATGATTCTTTCGACTCTTCTTTGGTTTCTAATTTTGTGCGCCTAGATTACCTAGGCGTTATGTAATAAGCAGTTGTATCTCCTTCATTATAGATACTTTCCTATTTCTTGCCGAACAAGTACATCACCTTATTGAAGGCTCTCTACTCGAACACTTGTGGGGGTGTTAGAGCCTATGGTGAGATATTCGGGGAGTGGTGTCCGTCAACATTGCCCACTCTCTCCATTCGAATTCAATTTTGCCATAAGTATTCTTATGGAGGTCTCCATCTCGTCATCTTCATCTTGCACTTCACTGCCTTTTCACTTGGTGTACTGGTATGACGTGTGGCAACTCGGACCATTACGCAGTAATGCCTAGTCCTATGTTGATGGATGATAATAATGACTTTCTTATTTTATAATTAAAGAAGATTAACAATGGTGAAACAGATGCGTTCATTGTTGTAGGATAATTTACATCAAGGTGATGAAATATATGAAATAATATTGGAACTTAACTAGCTATAGAAACGTCTTGCATTTGGAATACAAGTCATACATTCTACTGAATAGGAAATGCAAAAGAATACCTTGTTACTGAGAATCTGTTTACATTTAGATAATTATTGGGCAAGTTAAGCACTGTGTACATATTGTGTACTTTTCAATGCTGTCATCCATCTGCGTTTATATACGGAAAAGCATATGTAATTTGTTCCATTTACTTGAGGCTAGAAAATCGAGCAAGTATTATTATTTTTATTTGTCTTTTGGGTTCTTAGTGGAACATAGAGCTTCAGTAGCACGTCACCCATTTTAATCTCTTCTCTGCAGTTTTTTAAACCTGGTTCCATGACTGCCGAGAAGCTTTCATTTCTTCCTCAAACGTTCTTGTCAGTGTCACCCTCAGATGCCTAACTCGCTGTTTTCCCTTTGGGTCCCACCCATGGGCCTGGCGTGTGATGTCTCCAAATGTAGAAAAGACATTTCATGTCCGTATGCTTACTTTTGCTTTCATTGAGAGAAGAAACATCGGCCAATTGGCTTCCTGAAGGCTTTCACCAACTGGCATCATTTCGTCTCCCCGATTCCAGCAAGATATAATTTTTTTAAATTTTTTATATTTTCTTTGTGCTTTGA